CAGGAGGGAGTACCAATCCAATTGACCAGTTATTCCTAAATAAAGACCCAACATTCGAGCGTCTCTGAATCATCTTACCTCAAGCTCAGTGGAGTAACAAAATACCACTGGTAAACACCTCAATATATCACGGTGGTAGATGACTCACTAGCTCCTGCGGATTTGAAAAGTTTTTAATAGAGATATCCAGTTCCCTATAACCGTAATTGAATTTAACTACTGCTGGTTATATTTCTAATAAAGTGGATACAGGAACACGGGCAATATGAGACCTGTGAGGAAACTTCGTTTCTTGAAAAATGATATTCCATGCGGGAATATGTCTAAACAGAACAAGAAACTTCCTAAATCATAGTCGCGCTCGATGAGGTATATTTGAACTAAACCAACTGAACCCAGAAATTTGTTTGCGATCATAAAATAACAATTCTGATAATAATTTGTGAGAGGAAACAAAACCAGGCAAAGGGAAAAAGTTTTTCTCACTGCTGATATCCATTATTTTTGAGCGCACAAATTATGGTTGCTTCCATTGTGTACTTTTTCCAAACCTTTTGGGGGAAAATATTTTTAAAATCTGTGAGGGGTGGCAGGAATATTGAGTGGATGAGAAGAGTGTACAACATTAGACCAAAGAAATTGTTTCTTTTTAACTTATTTTGTTTACTCGCGCCACACTATTTTCCTTTCACAAAATTTATTTAAGCTGTCTCAGCTTGAATTAAAATTGCCTTGAAGTCGTCGTTAAATTTACAAAAGTGTTTTACTTGGCAAAAATTGTCAAGTGAAAGTTGAAATCGCGGACAGCAAAAAGAATTGTTATAGATCTTGAGTACGCATTTACATGTGAAGGGTTTTTTTTTACTTATCATGTACATAAGATTCTCAGAAATATGTAAAGGAAATTGCATTTAGTTTGTCGGTACAATTTTCTTGAATCAAGAACATAGCAAGTTTTTCCCTTCTTGGCGAGTAGTTTGAGGAGCTCTAGTCGAGGCTTTCTAAAGGTATTTGACTTTAAAACACCTAAAACGGAGCAATCTTGTTGTAAAACTGAATTTAAAATTAAGTGATCCCGAGTTATAAACCTCAGCGCTCGGTCATGTTTAACGCAGGTCTCAGAGTACGGATCCATGGATGTTGACACTTAATAAGAAATTGCAAGAGCACGAATGGCGGTCACGATTCTTAAATAACTATATGACCTGCAGTTGGAAATTTACTTATTTATCGATGCATTCCATCCAAACTGGCGTAAAAACAGGAGTCTAACTACTAGAAGGCATCAAAATGGTTGCAGATGTCAAAGAAAAGCTAGATATATGGCGATACAGCAGGACTTGCTCTAAAGTTTTAATATCTATTATTTTTTCCTTTATAATCTTTTAAGTATGTTATATCATGCAACGATTTTATGTTGTGTGTTGATATTTACTCCGTAGATAGCGATAATTTTTCGATACTCTACAGCGCGAAAGCCAGATAGTTGTGTTTAAGCTTATCGAAGACTTATAGACACTTTATAAGCGCAGGAATTCCACCACTCTTTTTCTTTCCACGGGTGACTGAGTGTCATTATTGGTCAAGTATGTTCGACTAGGGGCTGGTCTTTGGGTAGAGATTTGACTTGCGTCCAGGCCTACCGTGTTGTAACTGTCTCCGGGTTTCACAAGAACTTCTTACCGCGGGTTTGCTGGACTTTAAAAAAGGCTGGTCATTTAAAATTCTCTCTGGAGAGTTACAGAGAGAGCCTAAACATCCGTAAGAAGCTTCTGTCTCATAGAGAGCTTGGGCCACGTGTACCTGAATTTCACTCGGCGAGTGTAGTCGTCAATTGTACTCTGCATCACAGTTTTCGTTCTTACATCATTGATAGCTTTTTTACCAGATTGACTATCTTTGCCAGTATTTCTCTGAGAAAAAAAGAGAAAAAAAAAGAAAGGAAGCTTAAATGCGTATTTTCTACATTACATTATCAATGAAAAGCACAGTGTAAAGAAGGAAATGCTGAGATCGTTTTCCTTCACACCATCTCTTTTTTCTTGTCTAGGCCCTTTACTAAGTCACAATTCTTTTCACAATTCACAAGTCTTTTGGTGATAAGTATCCATAACAACAGAGAAATGCCGCAAGATGCATCTTTAAAAGAAAGCAGTTTCCTGAAAAACTAGACAATAACGTGACGTTACACAGCATATATATGTGCCGTGCATCAATTCAACGCAGAGTCAGGTCGAACGAAGAGAGCTGAAATCTATATTTTACCCGTTGCTCTATGTGGTAATAAGTGTCAGAAAGATCATGGAAGAGTTATATTTTTAACGAATCAATCTTTCCTGAATATTTCATGTAGCTAAGAGGAACATGAACCCTTAGTTACAACATTAGTTTTCGAAGCTCTCAATAAAGCCGTCTTGAGATGTAAACATCGTTCGCTTTAACCATCAGAGTCAAGCAACAAAGGTATTTCCAGATCGAACTGCTGTTGCGTTGATATAGATGTTACGACCAGTAAATGTCGAGGGGAACTTTTCATCGAGCACACCACGCCCGGCGAAAGGCATCAAGAATCTAACGTTATCTTTTTCACTCTTTTTTCTTCAATGGCTCGGTTCTCCAGTAGACGATATAGTACACAACGATTACAATACTTTCGAGTGAATATCCCGAACGGTATTTATTTGTCGAGACAACTCTATTGATGGAATCGAAAAATAATGCCGAAACTAATTATGTCTTCTTGTCTTGAAAAAAATACGAATGTACATAAAATACAAGAGCTCTTTTCAACGAACAATTCTTCGTTTTTATCATGTAAAAACGTTATCTTTGGCCCGTCAAAAGCGAGCGCGTCAGACCAAAATATCTAGCGTACATTTTCACGGAGTTCGGTCATTTTCTTGCTGTACTCTTACTGTACTCCTACTCTTGGGACAAAACTCGACGTGTTTGGTCTCTACTTCTGTTTTGATTCATTTAAATATATCAATTTTAACTTAAAAATTACCCTACCTTTATTGTTAAGTGAGCAAACCTCCGTTTTAGGTAAAGTTTTTGAGTTTATTTTTCCCTCTAGAGTGCAAAATAAACAAACCGCTGTTTACAAAGATACCAGCTCTGTCGACGTGTTTTTAGCTGAAATTGGCCTGTCGCCTATATTGTTCTTTAATTTACAATCTATCCGACTGGCATAATTTTAGAGTAAATTACATGTAACTATAAATGTTCTTGTAAATACGTGAGTGAGAGCTAAATAAAACCTTCGCACACATAAAATATTCGAAACATGTCAGTTGTCGCAAGAAAATACTCGCTTGTGCATGAACCTCGTGTATACATTCGGTGTTATGCTCGGTTGCTTTTAATAGATTTCTACCACTGTCACTGTAATTAAAATAGCATGTTTGTGTAGTCCACCTGTTTACAAACAACCGACTGGAAGAAATTACGCCGTTAGTTACTGGCGTAAAATCTTACATATAAACACAGCTGACTGGAAGAAGTTATGCCGTTTGACGACATTTGACCTGACTCACTTTGGTCGCTGGAAAATTTTCTACTGATACAGCTTGCAAGAGACCGACAAACTTGTTGAGTTTTCATGACATCGCATCTATGACCTTTGACGTAATAAAGAAACGAATAGGAAATTTTCTTTCTGTGTGGGCATTAAATGGTTGACAAAAAACTTTGCTGGGTTCGGCTTCTCAAAGGTTGCGATTTCCATATCTGCTCCCGCTTCCTGCCGTCTCCAGCCCCCTGTTCTCCCTGGCGCTCACCCCACTCCACTAATGTAGAACAAATAATTTGGGGCGACCAAAAGATTTGATCCGGTAAATTGGCCGCACAAAAGCTGACAAGGGATAACGATTTACGCCTTTACTACGGCTTAAAACTTCATAGGTATGGGGTGTAATTACCATCAAAAATAAATGTTTAATTATGATATCCACAATTTCAGTTATGACATTGAGATTTGCAATTGTGCTATTCCAATGTGACGCCTTAATATGCTATTTGGTCCTTGTGTTATGACATTATGCTATCACATTTGACTATTATGCTTTTACAATGTGCTGATTTGTCACTGTACCTTGGCGTTCGGCTGTTACACTTTGCTATTTTGCCATTGTATTCTAGTATTCTTCAATTTTGACATAGGGAATAGCAGTTTTTCTGTTGTGATTTGTCATTTTCATAGCGTGCGTTTCGTTATGGTGTTTTGTCAAGGTGACATGCAGTTCGGCATAACACTCAGAAACGAGTTTCGGACAAGATAAATTATTTCCTGCCAAAATTATAATTATGTTAATTTATTTCTTCTCCGTTGCCCTGTCTTGGTTGGAAACATGGCGGCTTTTCGCGAAAAAGCGGTGAATTTATAATTATTAGAAGAGGCGACCCGTGTTAATAGGGAACACACATCCCAGGGTCCCGAAAATGGTCCTCAAGGTACGGTGCAGTAGCTAGTGCAGTGAACGGACGGAAAACCGACGGACATGTACTGGAAAATTCTCGAAATTTGTTTCAGCCGTACACGGCTCGCGCAAGGTCAAACAGTTTCTCAAGCAGCAGCAGACAGCAGTCAGCGTCGTCAGCTCCAACTACTAAACGAAGGAAACGGAACACAACAGAAGTCGGAAAACAACAGAAGTGTTCTTCAAACGAGATACATGGACCCACGATGTACTGCATGTAAGCAATATAAGCATGTAAGCGCTGGTCACGGCTGCACGCGTTTAGAGTTCGCCTCGGCAATTTCAACGAAAATCTCCGCTCCAGTCTTCTCCACAAGCCACATCTCACGATAAATGATTTCTGGAACGTATGTGCGCCCCTTCTGTTCGTATGTAGTCCGTTTAGAGCTCCATTTTGGAGTAATTTTCATCGCAATCCTTGGAACCGTTCAAGCATCACGACCCTCGCAGAGTCAACGTAGCGGAGTTACATCTCTTCACGGATTCTTTTCTAACGAAGTGACACACTCTTTCCCCTTTACG